AATAAGTAAAACATATATATTAAAGAAAATTTATTTACTTGAAATGTTGTCGAATAACATCTAAAAAATATTGTACACCAAATTTTGTTCGATAATATTTTTTTTCATCTTTTATAACAGCTGCAATATATTGTAAATGTGATATTCGTACATCATGTTTAGCTTTATTCCATAAACTAAAATCAAGTAAAATATATTGAATTAATTGATTTGTTAATACATGAGATGATGTATTTAATCGACTACATTCAATTAATTGTTGAATAGCAATAAGTAATTGTTGATCAATAAAAAATGATGATATACGATTTAAATGTAATCCTAATAATTCAATATTATAACGTTTTGTCATTTGTTCAGTTAAAATTTTCATTGATATTGATGATAAAACACAACGAAATAAATTTATAATTGATGCTATAGGATTTGATATTAAACGATTATCAATATTAGATAAATTTCTTTGTGATTGTCTACGAACAATAATCCAATCTGTTGGTGATTCAAAATTATTTGATGATGATGATGATGATATATTATCTGTATATATTCTATCAGAACAATCAGTTTCTTGAAATTTTTCAAATAATGGATAAAGTACAGGACAACCACCTAAATTTAATAATGATTCAGAAAATGAACGAAGACGTAAACATGAACCATTATTAAGTCGACCATTCATTTGAGATGTACAAGCTGATATATCAACACAAATTTGACCATTACATGCTAATGGATGATAAACAAGAAGAGAACGAGTTGAAAGTAAATCAAATATAATTGAAGACATTGAACTATCACCACTTGGTAATGGATGATGTTGATGACAAAAATCAGCACCTAAAACATTAAGATATTTTATAGATTGTAAATTAAAATGAGATATTATAATTATTTACAGTAGATGTGATTATATGAAAGATTATATTATAAGCAAAGTACTTATAAGAAAATATTAATAATTGATAAATTACTTTGGATAGATTCTATTTAGATTAGAAAAAGTCTCAAAAGTATTCGTGTTCATGAGTTTTACAATGAAATTCGATGCTTCATTTTCAGATCACATTGAAAATCGACTTGTGCGTTTACGTTTGGCATAAATAAAGTTTTCAATAGGACTAGTTCATTGTAAGAGTGTCAGATTTTCAAGTATCTTTTATTCTAAAATTTAAATATAACGAAAAAGTTTAATTTTTATGATTAACAAAATTTTCAATATTGATATTTGAAGATAGACGATACTGGAAGAATCCGACGGTTTGATGATGAATTAGTGCTAATAGGAAATTTATTTGTGGAAAGTTTGTATTAGTAAGTCGATTTTGAAAATGATTTGAGAGGAAGCATAGCATTTTATTAAAAAAAACTAACTAAAATACCCATAAAACAAGAAGAAAGATATATGGACATGAATATTTTATGGTTTTTTCAAGTTCGAATAGAGTCATGGCTTATCTCAAAAGAGATTTATCCATTGGCAAAAATTACTTCGTTCAATATACAGACAAATCGCATTTTTTCCAGTTATAAAACCGTACAAATGCTTTGAAAAGCATTGACTCCATTCAATCGAATGTCAAAGCTTTTTGTTCTGTCCATTAAAAATAGCCTAGAAAGACTCTGTGAGAGTAACTCTCGTTTATATTTCATATAACATAAATCGAAAACGAAATCGTCTATTGTCTTACACATACCGAAGGACGAGATTGATCATTTCTAAATTTGAGATGGATTTCATGCGGGAATAGAATGAGACGAAAACGAGATTCATCTTTATTCTAAAAATTCTGAAAAATTTTACGATTTCTGCTCGTCAGTTTAAGAAAAACTGCATACGTTTGTCTAGTCAAAAGTGTTAATCGAATAAAGCTTATCAAAGTCCAACATTTTCAGGTTCAAACTCGAACCGTATTCTTAATTTCAAGAGAAATTTTGTAGTCTAAGACTGATAATCGCTCCGAATTCGGTTACTGATACACCCTACATATTTTTCAGACAATCTTGACGATGATCTTATGATAATCGAGTCATTATTGACTATCACTTTTAGAGTATAGCCTATTGGATCGGTCCTCAATTCAGTCAACAGTAAATTGTTAGGTCCAGATCAACCCGACGAGTTTTACAGTCGATTCATGGCGGTGACTGAAAACTAATCGCTATTATTTTAGAAATCCAACAAAAATTGAATACTGAAAAGAAAAAAATGTTCTATTACTGTGCTTTAATTGTAATGATCTGTAAATTTTCTAAAATATTCTACTTATTAAAATAACTCTGTCTATTTCAAATTCTAATTTTTTCTTTTTTTT